GAAAATGAAAACTTTAGAAACTCTGGCTTCTCAGAGGTGAGCCTCACCAACAGAATACAAGAGACGGAGAGAGACTCTCAGGTGTGGAAACAAGATAGAAGCAATGGGTATCTCAGTCAAAGGAAATGTTGGATCTAAACAAACAAAAAAAAACTTTTTTTTTTTTGGTATTTGAAAATACCAAATTTAAGAATAATAGGAATAACGGAAGAAGAAAAAATTCAGGCACATAAAATATTTTCAATCTATTATAGGAGAAAATTTCCCTAACTTGAAGAAGGAGGTGCCTATTAAGGCACAACAAGCATACAGAATACCCAGGAGACTGCACCAGGAAAGAAATTCACCGTAGCACACACCAGAACACCAAACATACAGAACAAAGAAAGAATATTAAAATATTAAAATATTCTCCCAGGGGAAAAGACCAAGTAGCATAATAAAGCGGACTAACGAGAATAACATCTGACTTTTCAATGGAGACTCTAAAAGCCAGAAAGGCCTGGACAGATGTTCTACAGACTGAAAGAGACCACAGGCGCCAGCCTTGGCAGTTACTACACCTAGAAAAATGGTCAAGCACAAGAGATGGAGAAGAAAGACATTCAGTAATTAAACAAAATTTAATCAGTATGTATCTATAAATACAATCCTACAGAAAGAACTAGAAGGAAAATATCTACCTGAAGATGCTAACCACACCCAAGAAAACATAGACCAGCAAATCTTAAGAAGAGGGCAAACCCGACACAACTCTCAGAATCACCAATCACTGCTCACTGACAATGCTCATTGACAATGATCCCAATCCCCCACCCCAAAAGACACAAACTTACAAATTAGATTAAAAAAAAATCCAAAAGACATACCTGAGCATCAAGGATAGACGTTACCTGAATAAAATGAATAGAGAAAGATAGTCCAAGCAAATGGACCCAAGAAATAAGTCAGTATAGTCATTTTAGTATCTGACAAGATAAACTCAAACCAAAGCTAATCATGAGATGGGGAAGGATACTACACACCCATCAAAGGCCATACCACCAGGAGGACACTGCAATTCTCAACATTTATGCACCAAAGACAAGGGCACCCAAGTTTATAAAAGAAAGATGACTACAGCTTAGATCACTTATTGGCCCTCACACACTGATAGTGGGTGATTTCAACACCCCATTTTTATCAATAGTCTGATCATTCAGACAAAATCTAAACAGAGAAATTATGGAGCTAAACGGTTTCATAAATCAAACATACCTATTTACAGAACATCATAAATCAAATGCTCCTATTTAAAAAATAGTTATTTACAGAACATTTCACCCACAGACAAAAGAATACACCTTCTCAACATCTCATAGAACTTCCTCCAAAACTGATCGTATACTTGAACACAAAGTACCAACAGATACAAGATAACTGAAATAATATATTGCATCCTATATGATCAGTACAAATTAAAGCTAGATATCAACAACAATAAAATCAACACAAAGCTTACAAATTGATGGAAACTGAACAACTCCCATCTGAATGAAAACAATGGGTCAAGATAGAAATTAAAAATGTTTTAGAATTGAATATAAAAATACCATGTAGCCAAACTTATATGCCACAATGAAGGTGGTTCTAAAAGGCAAGTTCATAGCACTAAGAATCTACATAAAAATTGGAGAAATTTCATATTGGCAACTTAATAGCACAATGAAAGCTCTAGAGTAAAAAAGAAATAATATCCAAAAGAAGAATATGGCAATAAATAATGAAACTCAGAGTTGAAATCAATAAAACAGAAACAAAAGAAAAATATTGCAAAGAATCAATAGAACAAAGATTTTGTTCTTTGAGAAAATCAGTAAGAATAACAAACTCTTAGCCAATTAACTAAAAGGTGAAAGATGATCCAAATTAACAATGCCCCGTACCCTTCAGTAGATGGCCAACACAAAACCAACAGTGACATTTCTGGAGGTACTACCGAGTCTCACGGTGCTTGGTCAGGACATTTTGTTTTTTAACCTTATAGGTCTTTTGAATAAACATTGTATGTTTTCTGGTTTTATGGGATTCTTGTATGTGTCAATGTGCATGTGTCTACATTTCTATGTCTTTCTTATGTTTTTTTTATTTAGCTTCTTTTCCTCTGTTTTTTCCCTATTCTAATTTATTTTTGTTTTATCTTATTTTATCTATTGTTATTCTTGGATGCCTATTTGTTTCCTAGGAGAGACACAAGGGTATGGGTACGGGTAGCAGGGTAGTTGAGGGGGAATGTGGAAGAGTTGGGGAGAGGAAACTGAAATCAGAATATATTGTATAAAATACTTTTCAATAATAGAAAAATTGTGTCTATTTATTTTTATATTTATATCTAATGCTCCTACCTGAGGCTGACTATGGATTTTCTTGAAGTCCTTTTAGTTGTATATTATAATTTACTTTTTGGCCTCTTAAAATGATTCATGAATTAGCTGCTGAATATAATATATAAGCTTTGGAGATACATAAAAACTACTTTAAATTATAATTATTTTTATTATCTTATTAAGGAGCATAATAGCTACATTAGAATGGTTTTATATAATTAAAAATTGTTTAAAATTTTGCTGAGTGTGGTGGCACATGCCTTTAATGCCAGCATTTGAGAGTCAGAAGCAGGCGGATCTCTGTGTTTCAAGGTCAGGGCTACACAACAGAGCCTGCCTCTAAATAAATATCATTTCGATGAATTGCATCAAGAGTTCAAATTTCACATAATTTCTATCATTACTCCGTCAGCACCCCACCACATACCTCATTTAATCCTGAAGGTTGGTATTGGCAAGAGTGAGACTGACTGTCAACCAATGAAGACTTCTCACAGATGTGGACAAGGACCAGTTGTTTCCTGTTAACACTGCAATGTGAGCAGACAGCATGCTGCTGTCCTGTCCCTGTCTTCATTCCGACCATTTCCCTGAGTTCCCTGGCTACAGCAGACAACAGGGCCTCTAGTCTGATGGGCGACAACATCACTTGGTAGGTTTGGTACTGGAGGTAGAGCCCAGACCCTCACACAGGTACGCAAGGGTCACCTCTAGTTCTAAGGTCTTTTGCCTTCCTCCCAAAGGCCTTGTACTTTCTCCGCCTTCCTCTGATCCTGGCAGGAGAGCAGAGCCCTGCCTTTTGCCCTGATGCTAACTTTCTATGGTTTTGAAGCCATTGCTTCCCGCCAACATGTCACCATGCTATTTTTCTTTCTTTTTCTTCTTCTTTCTGAGATGGGGCTTTCATGTGTAGCCCTGGCTGGCCTGAGGGTCACAGGATCAGGCTGTATAGATCAGGCTGGCCTCTAGGGCACAAAGATCTGCCTGCCTCTGCCTGCTGACTGCTGGGATTAAAGGCACCGGTCATGGGGAACAGGTAAATGTTCTTCCTTGTTCTGTAATCTTTGTTTCTCCTTCAGTGTTCATAGACCCCTCATAAAATCTCCACTTAAATAAAAATACGACAACAAAAACTTGCATTTGGTCCTGTCTGTTTTCTGCAAAATTCCTTCAAATAGTCGCATTCAAGCTTTTATTATTGTGTGTGCAGCAAGAGCCACAGCACACACGTAGAGATCTGGAGTTGGACGTCTCCGACCATGGGCTCTTTGGAGAGAACTCAGGGGGCTTCCTGTTATTCCATACATAGTTCACCTAGCCCTTTCTCACTATCTCAGTAAAAACAATTTGTCAAAAAGGGGTACTGTTGGCCTTAGACATGTGGGAAAAGGAAGTACATCGAGAGATGATGTGGGAAGTGAGTTCAGGTGGATCTTGTTGAACCTCCAGGCAGGGAGCGCACAGTGCACGGCATATAGCAGACAGGCAGTAGGGGACCACGACTGGAGATGGGTTGATGGGAGCTCATGCCTACCTCCTCTTTCCCACCTTCCTCTCTTGATTGATTTGCGGCACTTTTCTCCTTAGAGGTGCAGTACTGCAGTGAGATTTACAACCATCTGTGGGATCAACAGACGTTCAGCGACAGAGCCAGATCGCGGATAGCAGGCAGGTTGGGAGCAAAGGCCTAGTCCTCCACAGAGAGGAAGCCTCCGGTCTCAGCCTGGTTCAGGTTCCTTCATGGGAAAGGGGGTTCTCACCCTTAGCCCAGAACTTATCCTTCTTAGCCTCCTGGCGATAGTCTGGCTTGCCCTTGTGACCTTTGTCCTCGGAATTTAATCATTTACATAATACATTAGCACAGGACTCCAGGCGGGTCTGGGCACCCGGAACCCAGCCCAGCCAAGCCAGCGCCCTAGCGGCTACCTCCCTTGGCAGCTCCCCCACCACCCTCGACTGTGCCGGGATTCCCCTGCAAGCGCAAGGACAAGGACCTCAGTCCGCGCTCCAGCGTCCAGTTTTCCTTAGTCTCCCTAGGGCGGCAGCGCTTTACCAAAACCCACAAACGTTGGATGAGTGACACGAAGCTGGGGCCCTAGCATCAAGGAAACTTGGCAGGACTCCTCTGTTTTGCTAGAGGTCGTTGGGGTTTCTTGACCGTTGGAAGTCGCGCGCTCAACGGGCGCTGGAGCCTTGGAGCGTCCAGAGCTGTAGGATTCCGATCGTTCGCGCTGGGGGGGGGGAGGTGCTGGATGCCCAGCGAGCAATTCCACTTCTCCACGTGCCACTTGAGTACCCCTGGACTCTGTGTCCAAAACGACAGGGTTCAATTTTGGTAGAACCTGCAGGCATTCGCGGCTCGGGCACTCTGGCGATTACTAATTCTTTAGTAAACTGAGGGGGGCGCGGTAACAACACTCTTTAGAGCCGGTCTCGCCCAGAAATTGTACCAAGGTCCCTTCTCCTAGCAAAAGTTCCAGAAAGGAGCTCCATTTGCGACAGGTGCAGGATCATTCGCGCGACCACGCCTCTGGCCTCTTCTACGTGGACTGTTTAAAGGTCTCAAGTGAGGCAGAGTCCTCGAGCAGAAGAGCCAGGGTGCAGAACGCCCTCGCCCAATCCTTGTTCTGTGGCCTGTAACCGCATTCGGCCCGCCCTCCGCACCTCTATAAGAGGCGCGCAGAAGAGCGCACACGGAGCACCGCCCCCAGGCGCGCTACTTGTCTGGCTTCCTCAAGCGCCGCACCGCTGTCCCCACAGCTGTAGGACACTGGTTCCTCCCCTTCGTGGCCCCCAGCGCGGGCTGATTTGTCGTCTCCTCTGCTCCCTTGCTTTCCCGGACTTAGGCAGTCTTCCACTGATTCGCAGGTGAGCAACGCTGTAGCGCCGCTGTCCCGCAAGCTCACCTAGCACAGCCCAGCGCCGGCGCAAAACTCTGGTACCCTGAATGATGAAGAACCCGATGCTGGAAGCGGTGTCTCTCCTCCTGGAGAAGTTGCTCCTCATCTCCAACTTCAAGCTCTTGGGCGTGTGCGCTCCCGGAGGAGGGACAGGGAGGAACCGTCCCTATGAAATTAGCTCTTTTCTCCGGGGCGATGTGCTGGAGGTGTCACGGACTCATTTTACCCACTACGGGATCTACCTGGGGAACAACCGTGTAGCCCATCTAATGCCTGACATCCTGTTGGCGCTGACCAATGACAAGGGACGCACTCAGAAAGTGGTCTCCAATAAGCGTCTCATCCCCGGAGTCATTTGCAAGGTGGCCAGCATCCGTGTGGACACAGTAGAGGACTTTGCCTACGGAGCAGACATCCTCGTCAATCACCTAGACGAGACTCTCAGGAAGAAATCATTGCACAACGAGGAGGTGGCATGCAGGGCTGAGCAGCAATTGGGGCTGACCCCCTACAGCCTGCTGTGGAACAACTGCGAACACTTTGTGACTCACTGCAGATATGGCGCTCGGATCAGTCCGCAGGCTGAGAAGGTAGGAGAGACTTACAGGAGCTGGGGTCGGGATCCGGGATCTTTTTGGACATCTCCCTAGCCACACCATTCTTAGGTCCGGTGTTTCCAGGGAAGCTCTGGTAAACAGATGGCAGTATTCCTGACAACTAACAATTCAGACACTTGAGACAATGGGGGGGGGGGGCACGATTATCCAAACCACAACAGTTAGGGCTGTTTGTAAGACCATGGGTTGGGGGTTGTTTACTGGAGTATGGGCAACTAAAAAGGCGAAAATGAGCCCCCTCCCTTGAGTGCCGGCTCCTCAGGAAGGGAAGCAGCTGCTGTGCAGATGAACACAGCTGCCCTGAGTTCCTGGCTACTGTGGGCAGGAGGAAGCCTTTAGAACACGTCCCATCTCCACTCCCCGCTCCAGCATTAACTCCACACGGGCTCAGAAATTAGAGAACTGAGGAATTTTTATACTGATAATGAGGATGAGTCTATTGTGAAATTTAAGCCCCTCTCTTTTTAGCTTTTACTATTTATTACACCTTTTCTACAGTGTATCTTTTGTCTGACTTATTGCCAGAATGGGTTCACATGCCTTTTTTACAAAAGCAAACCTAACACCTTCTACATATCTACTGCTCCCTCTTCCCTCTCTCTTGTGAGACACGGTCGTGTAGCTAAGGCTGACCTCAGGCTCCTAATCTAGCCTAGGATGACTCGGGAGATCCTCCTACTTCTACCTCCCACAGGCATGCTTCACCACACCCAGTTCTGAGGAGCAAACCTAGGGCCGGCTGAATTCTAGGCAATCACCCAACTGAGTTACATTTCCAGTCTTAGAAATTTCGCCTTTCTGGGGATGCCTCCTGGGCTGATGGTCAAATGAATAGAGAGTAGGGGGACGGAGAGTAGTGAGGGAGAGAAGAAAAGGAAGGGAAAGGGAGGGAGGAGAGACGTGTGTGTGTCTGTGTGTGTGTGTGCGAGTGCGTGTGTGTGTGCGTGCGCGTGTGTGAGAATCAGGGTCTGTGTCAGACGGGTGGGTGTCTAATTCTAAGTAGGCAGTTATGACCTTGCACTTCTGATATTAGTACTCCACCACCCAAGTGCCAGGATTATTGGCATGTATGACCACACTTCATTTGTGTGGTGTTGGGAATTAACCCCAGAGCTTCATGCATTGCAAGCAAGTGCTCTGCCAATTGAGTTACGTTCTCAAGTCTTTATTCAGTTTGATTTTAACCACTTTATATCTTGTTAGTGTAGCCAAAGAGAAACATTAGGTGTTTGTCCTATAAACAATGTATGGATGGCTAATTGGTTATTGGATATTTCTTTAGATATTATGTAAAACTTTGACTAGGGATGGCCTTATATTCACATTGTGGACTAAAACACAGTCAAGCTTGGCTTAATTTCACGTGGATCACTAGGTGATCACTAGAATATAATTACACCAGTAATGGAGCCCTACAGGACTACAGGACTACTGCCGTATCTGTGGCTGGTCCTCGACTGTATTAAACTAATAATCTAGAAATCATGTCAAACACAGTGCTGCACATCTTTGACCTCAGCAGGAGGTGAGGCAGGAGGATCCCTGTAGCTCAAGGTCAGCCTCTTCTATACAGAAAGTTCCAGGAAACCAGGGATAGCGCAGTGAAACTCTCTCTCAAAGCAAGGAAAAAGAGAATATGTAAACCAGGGCTGCAGAGATGGTTCAGCAGTTTAAGAGTTCATACTGCTCTTGCAGAGGACCCAAGTTTACTTCTCAGCACCCACAGGTGCCTGCAACGCTAGCTCTGGGTAGGGTGTATTGTTGATACCTCTGGACTCCATGGGCACCTGCACTCCTGTGCACACACATACGCATAATTAAAAATAACAGAAAAGCATTAAAAAGTAAAGATTTTAGAAACCTTCGCAGCTTCAGGATAGTCCATTAAGCTCTGGAGTTCTGGGTCAACTGGAGCAATTCAGCAAGATCTCATCTCATCTACAATGCCATACTCTAGAAAAGGATCCGGAGTCTAGTAGGAATAGCATAAATCACATGAAAATTTTTTATTAAATTTTAAATTCTAGCATTAAATTCTAGTGATGACAATGGTACAGAAATAGCTGTCAAGAAATATAGCAGTAGTAATTGTAATAACTTACATAGAAGAACAACTGTTCTTTTATATGAAAGACTTTTATTTCATTTATCTTCAGGGCTACCCTGGTATTCCCATAAAGAAGGAAGTCCAGACTGGCTAAACGTCTTTTTTTTTTTTTTTTTTTTTTTTTGAGACAGGGTTTTCTCTGTGTAACTTTGGCTGTCTTAGAACTTGCTTTGTAGACCAGGCTGGTCTCAAACTTACAGAGATCTTAAATGCCTTATTTGATGTCACACAACAAATAAGGCAGAGCAAGAATACCATTTCCAAATACTTTTTACATGTGAAAGACTTTTATTTCATTTATCTTCAGGGCTACCCTGGTATTCCCATAAAGAAGGAAGTCCAGACTGGCTAAACGTTTTTTTTTTTTTTTTTTTTTTTTTTGAGACAGGGTTTTCTCTGTGTAACTTTGGCTGTCTTAGAACTTGCTTTGTAGACCAGGCTGGTCTCAAACTTACAGAGATCTTAAATGCCTTATTTGATGTCACACAACAAATAAGGCAGAGCAAGAATACCATTTCCAAATACTTTTTACATGTGAAGAAGTGTTACAGTAGAATGCACCCACTGAGGGTGGGTACCATATTTAATGTCTCTATTTCAGAAGCCTGTTATGTGCCACATAACTGATGATGAATTTTGCTATGGCAACTCAGTATGACCGACTCTATGCCTGTAGACTTTAAGAGATGAAACTGGTGTCGCCAAATTTTAGACTAATGAAGTAGAAGAATTGCCTTTTTTTTTTTTTCAAGGTTAGCAACTTCCTTCTGAGGTTAGTTTTAGAATACGCTAATTAGTATTAATCAACTTACTGTTGCCTTTACCCTTTAATGCTGGGTAACTTTCATGTGGTGCATTTTACAGTGTTCTGTAACACTCTGTATATTAGTTCATAAGTCACTGGGAACATAAAGTGTTCCTGGTAGAGACAAAACAACCAGAAAGACTACACAGTAGTGTAAGTGCTTTCTTTTAGTCGTGGTTGCTAATATTCTCAGCTTTTCTTTTCCAGTTTTATGAGACTGTGAAGACCATCATTCGTGACCAGAGAAGCTGTCTTGCTTCCGCTGTCTTGGGACTGCTGTCCATTGCCTACACGGGCCTGGCATCATATACGGCCCTTCCTGCACTCTGTATTCCATTCTGCTTGTGGATGATGTCTGGCTAGCTTCCAGTCGTCACGTGAATGTGTATGTATTTTGTGTGGGACGATGTTTATATTTATAGAACACAAAACATTATAAGCTTGCTGAGAAACTGTGGCTTTCAACACTGTGTTCTAGCTTTTAAACAAGTGATTAGAGCCCTACAACTTGCTTACCACGTAAGCCACGACAGAGCCCTTCTGTGTCCTCTGGGGCAGGTCTGCTGTGGAGCTGGACAGCCTGTCCGGCCGGACTCAGCGGCCCCAGAAAAGCAGACCCTGAGGTGACAGCCACAGGAGTGGCTGGGGCCACTCTTCCTCCTGTAATCACTCTGCTGCCAGGCTTACCAACTGATCACTAACGTCACTGTCAATGTGTTCTGCTCACTGAATGACTGACACTAAAGGCAACATTTTCTCTCATGTAGATGAACATGTTTGATAATTAGCCATAAAGAAACCAAATCTCATATTCTGTTTTGCCTTTCTTCATGTAATAATACAATTTCAAGTCAGTCAAGAATATTATTTTCATGTCCTGAGATCAGTATTACGGAGCATAAGGAATTAACTGTCCAGAAAGCATAGAGATGTTTTCTCCTGCACAAACAGTGATAGTAGCTATTTATGTTCACTTTTGAATAGTCTGGTACTGTATGGCTACTTTAAAAAAGGTAAACAGATAGAGGATTGAAGTAATTCCAGTATCTGGTGCACACACACACACACACACACACACACACACACACTCCATAAATATACCAGTACTGCACACATATAGATAGATAGGTAAACTGTATTTCTGGTTACTTTATTATACTAGTGTAATTATATCTACAAAGGTGAACATAACAGGTAAACATAAAATAAAGTCTGATTTTCTTCCCTATGCCCTTCAATCTGTATATATATCATTGGTTAGTTATTTTTTAAAGCTAAATTTATTAACGCCCTTTAAAAAAAAAAAAACCTCAGATTTGTTTCTGTTAAGTATTTTCTGGACCAACAAACCTCTCTGCCGAGGCAATAAGTCAATCAGACCAAATTAGAAGACGACCAGCTTTGGTGGACTCCAGTGCTCCTGGACAGACAAAGGAGAACTGGAACAACTCAGAAGAGGGAAAAGGGGCTACCACATGCTCGTTAGTCCTCTAGGGGGCAGTCTAAATAGCCTGTGGGAGTGGTCCCGACCTTCCCTGGGGAAGGGTCACCATTTGGCAGGCTTTCCTGGAGGTGGAGTTTGGACTGAGGCCACTCCCATAGGAGGTGGCTTGATCCAGAGTTTATGGCCAACATTCCAAGAAGGATGCCAGGGGGCTGGGGTGAAGCACCCCAATCAAATATTCCAGACTTTTTTGGGTAAAGATGTTAGGGGCTGAGGTGACGCTTTTAATTAAACAGTTTTACTGTCCATTTTCCACTTTAAGTGTAGTTTATGAACTTATTAGAGGCGTGTCACAGCAATATATGAAGCCTGAATAAGTAAGTCAAAGGAAATTACTCTTTGACAAAATTAATAATGCCTTTACAGAATCCACTGAACCAGACTGTTGAAGACTTTAGCAAATTCACTAAAAATGACATCACATGTTGGAGTTGCATTTCAGGTACTGGAACTGTCTTATCAGAGGTGGTACATGCCTATGACAACTGCATGCAGAAGGCAGAAAGCAGCAGCAGGTGGAGCGCTCCAGGTCTGTGTGGGCTGGAGGACGACACTTGCCTGTTAAATGTCAGGAGTTATAAACCAGGTACTAGAGAGGTGACTCGCAGGTAAGAGCTACTGCTGATCCTGCAGAGGACCAGAGTTCAGGTGCCAGCAAGCCCTGGTGGCTCACAACCTGTAACTCTTAATTCCTGAAGCTCCAGCACCCTCTTCTGACCTCCATGAGCATAGCACACACACTGGAGACATACCACCACACACAGGCAAAACACTCACACACAAAAATTAAAAATAAAGCTTACAAAAGAAGGAATCACAAAATAGCTAAGCATGGTGCTACATTGTTAGACCCAACACTTGGGATGTGAAGGCAGAAGACTGGGAATTTAAGAGCAGCCTGTTACACAGGGGATTTAAGACTTGCTTGCATCACACAGGGGATTTCAAGACCAGCTTGCACTACACAGAGAGTTCAAGGCCAGTAGGGGCTACAAGACCTAATCTCAAAACAACAACAAAGAAACCACAAAACAGTGATTCTAACAGAGAAAAAAAGCAATTGTTTTAGTCAGTGTTCCAATAGGAGCAAAACTGAAGAGCAGATCTTTGTTTAACTGAGGTTTTATTGCTGCGAGTTTTCCTACAAAAAATTCAGTTGGGGTATAATGATAATTAAACTTTGTTTAATATCCTAATTAAACATTTAATTACTTACATGCTTTATGTAACTAAAACATTAAGTGGCAAAATCAAAGAATCTAGGGCTGGAGAGATGGCTCAGAGGTTAAGAGCATTGCCTGCTCTTCCAAAGGTCCTGAGTTCAATTCCCAGCAACCACATGGTGGCTCTCAACCATCTGTAATAAGGTCTGGTGCCCCTCTTCTGGCCTGCAGGCAGACACACAGACAGAATATTGTATACATAATAAATAAATAAAATATTTTTTAAAAAATCAAAGAATCTAAGTGTTCTATGGGCCTGTTCCAACCACTTACATTTTAGCCGTAGGCACTGTCATGCTGAGAGCCATTGTGTTGGTGTCATTTCCCTTCACCCTGGGAGCACTTGTGTAAGTGAACTCATAGTGGGCTGTTTTTCAAACATCAGTATTGTAGGCAGCGGAAAATACTGTTTGACATTAAATGTGTTCGTAGACAGTGGTTCTCCTTACAGTCAACATAAGTATCTCGACTCTCTTCTGTCATGAGACCAAGAGGCAATCCATCATTTGTCGGATGCTCATCTCACTCTGTGCTAAGCACTGAAGTGTTGCAATTTCACGTTCATTTTACTTTTCTTCCTCTTTTTTAGAGACAGGGTCTCACTCAATAGACCAGATTTGATTCAAATTCACACACAGAGTCATGCGGGCCTCAGCTTCCCAAGTGCTGGGATTAAAGGTGTGCTCCACCACTCCTGGCCTAATACCACTTTTTATCCAGCTATAGCAGCCTGTATATAGTGTGGGGGAATACAGAGAAAAGAACAAGCAATCCTGCCTCAGGAGTCAGGAATTTACTTGAAGGAGGCAGTAAGAAGCAGGAAGCTGAGACTGAGTTTATTTTGTTACAATGACATCATTCAACTGTCCTTTGTAGTTGAGGGAGGGAGGAAAGGAAGGAAGGACGGAAAAGGTAAATGTCCCTCAGCATTGGAATTGCTGAACTTGTAGGTAAGAGGGTATCCCTTTTGTTGCTTCGGTTTGAGTAATTAGCTAGCAAGAGAAAAGTGTCAGTCACAGAAGAAATCCTGAGCCAGTCATTTCTCTCCTATCCCAAGCAGGCAGGTTAAATTCCTCCAGACTTCCTCAGTCAAGGTTCATCCTTATGACCCAAGTTCCTCAGATAATCGTCTATCTATTCTACCGATACAGCGATACCATCATGCTCTCTCTGAAAAAGGCTATAAACATCTGTAGGAAGGAGGGACTTCTAGGAAGTAGAAATTAATGATCTCATTAAAGAATAATTATTTTTCTCTATCTCCATTGCATAATAGCTTGGAATGTCACAGCTCCACCCAGGACTAAAAGTAAGGTTCAATTCTATTCTTTAAAAAATCATTTAAGTTTATGTGCATGTGTGGCTGCATGAGGATGACCATGGAGGCCCTGAAGAAGGCAGCATACCCTGTGGAACTAGGGTTATAGCTGAGAGCCACCACGGATATTCTGGGAACAGAACACAGGTCCTCTGCAGGAGAAGTAGATGTTTTTAATCCTTTCGGACAGCTCTCCAGCTCCTCAAATTCTGTTCTTAACCTCAGTGGGCCTCACCAAAGCCCGGAAGCTTTTGCTTTTTCATAAAACGACACCTCCCATTCCAAGCGGGGCGACGGCATGCAGCACAGGCTACATGTGATGGGAGTCATGCACTGTGGTTTCAAAGCTTGCTAAAACCTATGCAGCTACTTAAAAACCCATTTTATTGTATGTGTATAAATGTTTGCCGGCATGTATTTATGTACACCTCATGCATAAGTGGGCATACAGTGCCTGAAGAAGTCTCCTGGAACTGGAACTACAGATGAGTCTAAGTCACCATGTAAGTGCTAGGAACGAAATCCAGATCTTGACCCCTGAGCCATCTCTCTAGATTCCTCTCTAGCTACAGATGAGAAGACTGGAAATAAGTTACTGGCATTAGAAAGGATGGGGCTACACATATGGGGGTATCGCTCGCTAGACACAGTCCTCACATTTCATTTATGAAGCCAAAATACTTCATAATCACTATGTCTGAAAGCAAAGGAACAACAGGCACAAGAAAAGATAGGGGAGAAAATAAAAAAATGTAGCTTTAAAATAGGGGATAAAAATTTACAGCACCTCAGAATGTTACGGCCAGGTCCTGTTGAGGGGTGCTTCACCAGACCATCAACAGTGTCTTTATCTTGACTGTCAACTAGAGAAGACTTGGAATCACCATGGAAACAACTATGTGGACAAGCTGTAAGACACTATGTAGATGAGGCTAACCGAGGTGGCAAGGCCTCCTTTACATGTGGCTATGTTTCGGGATTGGATAAGCAGAGGAGGTGAGCTGGGCACCAGCACTTGCTACTCTAGCTCTTGACTGTGGACACACTGCTGCCAGACAGTCTTTGCCACCATGGCTGTAGCCTTGTTATCTGTAAGGTAAATAAACCCTTCCTTTCTTAAAGAGCTGCTATTTGGAGGTATTCTGTCACGAAAATGAGAAAAGTAATTAACACAGAGCAATTAAAAGTTACCTAATGCCAGACACATAAGTCCCAAAGAAGACAAACAAAAATGACGTCATTCAACAATGACAGACTTCACAGTAAATTTTTCAGTGAGGGTGACATACATGAAATTCCAGAGGAAGAACTGAAAATAAATAATAGTCCAACAAAATAAAAAACACCATTAATTTCTGAATTGAAATTTTGGAAATGAAAAGTTCAATAAGTTGATAAAAACATCAAAAACCTTACTAACAGATCAAGCAGAAGCTACACTATCAGGGATTTAAAATAGGACAGATAAATTAGCAACAGCCAGATAAAAGAGATAAATTAATAAAGATTATAAGCAAGGCCTTCAAGATGCTGGTGCAACATTAAAAGACAAAGCTTACAAATCATGGGAACAGAAGGAAGAGTCATACAAACTACAGACCAAGAAAATACACTCGGCAAAATCACAGCCAAAGCGGGGTGTAGTGCATGTCTTTAGTCACAGCATTCACGAGGAAGAGGTAGATGGACCTCTCTGAGTTCAACACTGGTGTGATGGGCTACATTGTGAATTTGAGGCCAACCAGAGCTATATAGAGAGACCTTGTCTCAAAACAAAAGCAAGGAAAAACAAAACAAAACAACAAAAAAAAACTTTTGGCAAAAATTTCCTAATCTATGATAAGAGACATTCATCAAAACATAGGCCGCATTAAAATACCAGTTAAGCCCAAAAAAGAAAGCCCCAAATCATTTTATATTTAAAACAACTAAGACAGATAGGTAGCAAAGAGTACTGAAAGCTACAATAGCAAAGGACCAAGTCACATCTAGAGACACCTCATCAGAATAACAGCACATTTCTCAACAGAAGCATGGGATGATGTTTGCACGTTACTGTGTGCAGCCAAACTCTCCTCGACAACTGACGGAACAGCAGACCACGGTGACGACAAACTGAGTGCATTCCTGACCACCAAGCTAGACAAGAAATTTGGGTATTAATTAAACTAACTGTTTATTCAACTCACTAATCTTTTTGTGTGTTTCATGATCATATATTTACACTTTGCTAAAATAAGTTTTCATATTTCCTGGTTCTTTTGTTTGGTCTTTCCTGGGGGGAATGCGCTCTGATAAAGTGGGAGGAGCCTGCTTCGTGTAAGGCTCCTGATTGGCTGGTACCATGGGAAAATGATTTCAGTCCTCATTTTTCTGAGCTTAAGAGGGTATTCCTGAGTGCCAGAGGTGATCGTGTGCTGGTCAGTGGACTCAGCATGTGGATGTGCTTAGTCAGTTAACCTAGAGACGGCAGATGACGCTACTTCCCATACTGTGAGCAGCGGCGTTAGGTTTACAGTTCCTTCTTAGAACTGCACATCAGGGGTTTGTTTCTGATAATAATTACAGAGGCTTGCCATGGTTTGAGTGTGAATGAAATGCATGCAACAGGCTCATCTGTCTGGTGCTTGCTTGATCCCGGCAGTGCTGTTGTTGGAGGCTGAGCTAGCTGAAGAAAGTACGTTACAGGAGCTGTGCCTCTGAAGATTGTATTTGTGTTGGGTCAAACCCCCCCCCCCTTTTCCCTGCCCCTCACAGTGAGAAGCCTCTGCAACACCTTCCTGGAGTTAACTACTACCTAGTACAAACCACAAATTCTGTCCTCATCAGAACTTCCTTCAGTTTGTACTGATGGTAACTGAGGCCTTGGCGCTGGGTGTGACACTTAAACCTCGACATTGAGCTACACACACACCAAGACCACGATTTCTGTGATTGTCAGTCACAGGACAACAGAGATAGAACACAAGATGGCTCATTCCTGTCACCAGAAAAGGCACTGTTGAAGCACCTACCTTGCCTTAGAGACATCTTGAAAATGGCTCAGGGTTTCGAAGTGACGGGAACCTCTGGTCATTCAGTCATTCTGCTGCAGAAGTATCACACCACCGAGAGAGGGTCCAGTGGGCTGGGAACATGACTGCATCATCATCATGAAAACCAAAGAGAAAACATAAACTTTTGAAAGGGTGCCATCTTGACTGAAGGGTAAGCAGACCAAAGCAGAGCTGTTTCCTGTGCCAGAGTTCCATACTGGTGACAAGAGTTCTAGAAACACACAAGCAGCTATCACGGGTTTTGATCTGTGTCATGACTGCCAGCTAAGGACGGAGGAATCTCTCGCAACACACTGACCTTTCTATGGAAAACTCACCCGTATTCCCACCAGGGCGCTGGAGAGCAAACATTTATAAGGACTTCCCATTGTTTTCCTTACCTTTTGGGGGTCTGTATATAGGGCATCTAAGAAACTAACTTTTAAATATTCCAAAGCTTGCATTTTATTTGGGAAAAATGTACTTACATATGTTCAACCTATTCTCACCACCATTTTGCATATTCCTTCTATTTAAAAAAATTTTGTACTTTTTAAAAAAATAATGTATAGGTGTGTGTCTGCATGCGGGTATATGCTCCCAGGGGCCAAGAGTACTAAATCCCCTGGAACTGGACTTACAGTTGTGGCTACCTGACCTGGGGAGAGGAACAGAGTGTGGGTATTCGGGAAGAACGGCAACGATTCCTAATTGCTGAGCTATTTCTACAGGCCCCCTTCTACTCTTTAGTGCCCACAGTCAGCATCACGACCTCTGGGCTGTGGCGGATCTTCTGTTTTCTTCTTCAGCAAAGGCTATTTCCTGCTTCTGGCTCCTTTCTAGTCAAAAGCTTATCTACATTTCTCTTAATCCTTCCTTTGAATCACAGCTCCTCGGAAAGCCTGCAGGCTACCAACAACTCTTTCACGTCCCACAGTGAAATAACGCCACCTACTGGCTATTAAAGGTTCCTCCAACAACCCTTATAAACCTTTCTAAAATCTGTAGAATTAATTCGTTATGTAAAGGACAAGACATCCACTATATAAAAAGGTCTAGCAGATAGTATATAAAATATCTTACGCCCCTGGCATATCTAAGCTGTTTTTAAAGTTAAAAAAAAATCTTAAAAACAGCAGAGCCAAGCAAGTCTATTGGACGAGGCTTAAGCTTCCAAGGCGGTTTGAGGGTCAGAGCCCGGGCATCGCGCTCCCCTGGCGGGCACCTTTCGGGACAGGGCACACCACAGGGCTTCCATATGCACTCTGCGGCACAACCGGGGCCCCTGCAAACGTCTAGCGCTCTCACTAGCGCTCTGTGCGCGGGTTTCCCGTCCGTCAAACACGCCACACCGTGGCAGACGTTGTGTGGGAAGGGATGAGCACGCCCTAGACGGCTGCCGGCGTGGAGAGGCATCCAAGGGTGGCACTGTCAGCGCGATTATCATCCAGGTCTCACGGCATCCGTCTCAAGGGGACCCGGAGAAGCTCGGGGGCTTTGAAAGCCACCCCTCCCGTCGTCCTTTAGAAGGGTCACCAGGACGGTTCTGCGTCAAACTTGTAGTTTTAAGACTGGCAAACTGCACCCGACCAGACAAAGAACTTCCCAACCCACCTAGGTATCCCCCGGACGGGGACGCCCACCAGCTCAGACCGTAACTTGTCTTCCACTCGCCGGGATCCGCTTCTCTCGTACCGATTGGCCAGCCAGACTGCCACTCCAGGTCCGCCCTTCCTATCGCTAGCGCTTCCGAGAGACTAGTGCATCGGTCCCGCCCACCCTCCGGCAGCGGCGGCCGCTGATTGGTCGGGGCGGGGGGGCGCCTCCGCGTGAGGCACGCTCGGCTGAGGCGCGGAGCCCGAGGCCCCGAGGCGCGAGGACGGCACGAGCCCCGCCGGCCACGCCCTTCTCCGCCCCGGTCCGCGGCGACTCCTCCCCTCCGCGGCTTCCGCCCCCCGGCGCAGATCCGGAGCTGGCGGCCGTTTGAGCTCGTTGGTCCCGGGATTGGTTTTTAGGTCCGGCCTCTGAAGACCCGACGGGGTGAGGAGGCGGGGATGGGAGCCCCGGGGTGTCGGGCGGACCGTGGCCAACGGCCGCAGGCGAGGGATGGCCGGGCGCCCTGAGCGGGGCGGCACCGTCGGGCGGGCGACGTCGGCGGGGCCTGGGCCCTCGCCCTGAGGCCGCCGGGGTTCCTCGAGGGCCCGGCCACCGAGCGCATCTGCGGGAGTGGCCGTCGGGAGCCAACTGCCCGACGCGGCCGCTAACGCACGCAGGGGTGCGGCAGGAGCAGCGGGGCGCGGGGCGGAGGCTGCACGGGGGAGGGGGGTCAGCCTCCCAGGGAAGTGATCCGAGGGGACCCGGCTCTGCTCATCCGCCCCCTTGAGCCACCCAGGACCGAGATAAAGACTGGGAAGCACCGCAGGTAGCGCCCACGAGGCGGTAACGCGCCGTCGTGTATGAATACGTGCGTGGAAACTCGGTAATCTGAATAACTGGACGTTTTCATTTCAAGGGTCATCGCAATGAGAAGTTCAAGAAACTTCCACTTGTGGTCATTTGGGATTAAGTTTACTTCGTGCTGTCATAGGTAGATTTGTGTCACGTGGTTAGAAATAGTGTTTTAGTAACTGCGATTATTTACCACTAAGGACATAAAGATTGTTGTTACCGGTGTATTTACCAAATACCAACAGTGCATTATTTCCCTCGTGTGGCCTATGTTTAAATGCTAATTTTCATATTAGAGTCTTGAACTTTAACATTAATGCCAAAATTACTAAACCATGCCAAATGCAGACGTATTTATAAGATAAGGATTATTAATACGAAGAATATATGCAAGTAAAGTATGTTATGTGGCTGAAATTAAATCCTAAGTGTTCAATTGTGTCGTTTTGTTGATGGCCACCATACTATAATTTTAAAAAAGGATTACAAATAAGTAGTTTGTATAAATTTAAAATTTTAGTGATAAGTATTATTTTAATATCTGATGGTTGGCAAGGAAGGAAAAATGGAAAATGTGATTTCTGTGTTCATACTGATAAGATTTCAAATAATGTTATAGAAGACTGGTGGTTCACATATTTAGTTTGGACAAACATTTGTAGATATCCCTCATAAATTAAAAGAGCACATAACTTTTGTTTTCAGTATTTAAAAATTATTTATAATAATTTGGAACATTTTACATGTGTGAGAGAGTACAGGGACGGGCAGCTTTCAGGAGTTGCTTCTCTCCTGATGGAGTTCTCAGGCTGGAGGGCAAGTGCCTTCACCCCTGCACACTGTGGCCCCCAAAGGACTGTTTAAATACTTCTCTTTTTATGATCCTAGATTTGTCTGTTCAACATAAATGAAATACCTAGTAGTACTAAAACTTATGATATTTAACTTTTGCAATTAAACATACTCTTATTATTTAATAGAAATAATTTAACATGGAATTGGACTGATCCACCTGTGGACTTGTAGTTTTTATTTCTCAAGCATGTTGACTGTAGTGCCGTGTCTAAATTAAATGCTGCTCAGAATCTCCGCTGACCTGTATTGACCAGTCTGGAACTTAACTAACATTCACAGCGTTGGGGCAATTCTGCAAAGATGTAGTGCGCCTTGTAGAAAAGGGGTTTTAGGTCTCGGATTATTAAACTGAACATTTTTTTAAGAATTAAACTTTATATATTGTTCACTTTTATAATCTAAGAAGTGATGGTGGAGCTCTCTCTTCAGACCCATGAAATTTAAACTTTATGATTTGTTAGGATGCTATAAGCTAATGAGATATGTATTTCAGTATTTTAAAGATTTGTTGAGATTGTTAGTTGAATATTTGTCCTGTGATTAGTTAGTTATGCTATCCTGACATACCTTAGTGGGTTTGGGATAGTGATTCTTCTTTTTTTTTTTTTTAAATTTAGAAAGAAATCTTTGTAAGTTTCAAAGTTTACAAAAAAAGAATTATCTTTGAAAGTTGAAGTAAAATATGTTTAAAAGTGTTATAAAACTTCCAATTTACTGTTTCTGTTGATTTTGTTTCTCTTTTTCCCTTTCCCATAAATGACTGACATCATTCTTGCTCATTCTGTTGCCCAGAACCCCTTCATCTTTTATTCCATTCCCTAGGTTAGTGAACTAAACGTTTGTGGGACATTTTGGAATGTGAATACGTATCTTAAAGTAACTGAAGACATTGAACCTGTAACCCTCAATATGTGTGGTAGCTTACACTCCTGTGCTTCTATGGCCATTTGAATAACTGACTGATTGTGGAACATTTTAGGATGAACTTTAAAATACAGCTTGTTTTAGATTTACTTATTATTTCCCAGCTAGTTCTGGTTCTGAAGGAATTATGCATCAGCTAGTGGGTATGATGTGGAAGTTAGGGCTTTGGTTTCTCCTAGTTGTGCATTGCACATGTCTGCATCATTTTAAGGAGGTTTTAGGATAAGAGTACGCTATACTTACTAAAGAGAAGATGGGATTGGTGATGTTAAGGAGGTTTTAGGATAAGAGTACCCTATACTTACTAATGAGAAGATGGGATCGGTGATGTTCCTCTGTTTCTTAGTCCTGTGATTTCAAGTTTCATATTTTAAGATTTCTTGAAATGCACAGTCTTGCATATCTTTGTAGCTATTCTGTAGTAAAAGGAGTGTTTTAGATGTTGAATTGATTATTATTTCAACATAAGTGTGTAAACAGTCTCTTTAACATACACTTTAGTCACAATACTAACCTAAAATAGATGTGTGTAGGTAGCAGCAGGCATAGACTGGCTTGTGGAACTTAGTAGCCATTTGAGCTAGCTGTGAGTTACAGTAAAAACAAAAGTCCTGTTTTTACATTGACTTTGACACATCAGGTAAAAGAAGAGAAACTGTATGTTGCTTTTATAGTCAGTAAGTCACCTTTGTATGGTAGCAGTCTTTATTAAAACAAGTATCACTTTCCTAGTCTATGCATAGTCTAAGTATGATCTTTGTGTTTTATGTTAGAATCAATGCTGTTCTAGACTAAATTGTTGAAGACAACTGATTTTAGAAGCTGAGTGTTGATAGGAGTTTGAGTTCCAGGTCTTTTCAGTTGCTAGTTTTGATATCTTACAAACAAGTATTATCTTTTTGCTTTCTTACATATATTGGTGGTGGTCCAAGGGCTTCTGGCATTTTCTTTCTATAGTATATTTAATAATGCTATAGAGGCCGACTCCAGAGTAAGGACCATCTTAAGTGGATATTTTTGAGTATATCTAACCTGAAATTTAAATATTCCAAACTCTAAATTTTTGTGTACCATTGTAGAACCTCAACGTCAAAGCCCACACAAGTGCATCAGAAATACTGTATTAAAAAAATCCTTCAGTTTCTGTGGATGTAGGGTATCATTCATCTTTAAGTTTGCTCCTATCTGCAAGATACTCATAATACCTCTGCTGTCCCCAAACCCAGAATTATTTGAATATGAATTAGCATCTAAACACTTTAGATAAGGAATACTAAACCTGGTTAAAATTGTTTTAAAGAAATGAAGGAAAAACATCAAATTATTAAAGAAAAGTTCAAAAGATGGTCAGTTAATCTGTCTCATTCATATCTTTAATCTTTAGAATTTATCAGTTCTTTTACCAGAATGGGTTAAAAATATTAATTGGATTTGAAGTCACATAAAATTTATTTAAATTATAGTTAAAGACACACATTTAGTGCTAATGCAGGTTCAAAATCTTTTTCTTGATAGCAATTTATCTATATTTCCTGTTTCTTAAGTTAGGAGACCCTACTAATAATAAAGAGAAACAAGATTCTCTATAGACACAGAATATAATAATGTGTCTATTATTCTGAAACAAGCAGAGGAGAAGACTTTTACCTATACTGTAGTGGAACTTTTTTTTTTTTAATTTTCATATTACATCTCAACTTTAGTTTCTCTTCTCTCCTCTCAGTCCACCCATCCTCTCTCCCCAAGATCCTCTCCTCCTCCTTTCCCTTCAGAAAAGGGCAGGCCTCCCCTCCCAGGGCTGTCAACCAAACAAGGCTTATTAAGTTATAGTAAGATTAGGTGCATTCCCTCAGATTAAGGCTGGACAAGGCAATCCAGCAGGAGGAAAAGGGTCTCAAAAGCGGGTAACAGTCAGAGACAGCCTCCATTCCCATTGTTAGTCCTACAGGAATACCAAGCTACACAACCTTAACAGGTGCAGAGGACCTAGGTCAGACCCTTCAGACTCCCTGTCCTTCCTTGCTTCAGTGGATTCTTGGGTCCCTTTCTTGTAAATTGTAGCTTTATTATGTAAATAACCCCAGCACTTGATGGGCTGGGTCACTTCAAGGACAGTCAACCTGGGCTGAGTAGCAAGATTCCTCGCCTGCAGAATTTTTATATACACGTTTAACAAAACAAATATTCAAACTCAAATGATGTTCATGGGGAGATACTCCATGTCTGGAGAGAACATTGTTAGTTTTTAACCACTGCTCAGACTAGAGGATTTTTTGTTTGGTTTGGTTTTAGTTTTTTGAAGTGTTTGCATTTGTTTGTTTGTTATTTAATTTTGGAGACAAGGTCTCACAACTATCCCTGACTGGCTTGGAACTCCCCAGATAGACCAAACTGCACTCATACTCAAAAAGATCGGCCTCCCTTGGCCTCCAGATTGGATTAAAGTTCTGTCGACCAGATCTAGGGTATTTTAAAGATGTTTTATGATTATAAATTATGATTATGATCTATGATTGTATTGAAAAGATGCATGCTAATTTCTCTGTAAGTTGGTTCCTCAGGCACTGGCCATCATTTACTTATGTATTTTGAGTCCGAGTTTCTTTACTGACTGGTAATTGATGTTGTTTGGTTAGCCACTCCCAGACACCTACCACATTTTCAAACATGAGTTCTGGACATGGACGTCAGCTTCCAACACCTTTCTGATTGAGCTGTCTCCCTAGCTCATTTTTTAAATATGAAAAGTAAGGTCTTAAGGAAAGTGCGAAAGTAGGCAGTTTGATGCATGGGACACCAGTGGGTAAATGTGAGGGAATATTTGCATAGACAGATACCTAATCTGTCTCAGGACTTTCAAATGGACGGGAGTGTCCCCCAAGGCCATATCTCAGTGAAGTCATGAAGTCCTCTTGCTTTCTTTATTGACTGTGCATCATGTGTCAGGGTGCTGTGCGGTGCTAGGGAAATAAGTCTACAATTTAAAGTCTGGTGGGGCTGAGGGAAGACCAGGGTAGGGGTAGAAGAGCAGGGGATTGGCCATCACAACACTCGGAGCTGGGCTCTGTGATAAAAGTAGATATCAAGGAATACCTAATTTAGATTGGGGAGTTGAGATAATAAATAGTAAGAGCATCTAAGGAGGTAGGGGAAGCGCATGGGATCAGAGGACCTAAGGGAGGACCTGATGGAGGAGAGTGTGGCACATTTGAGAAGCCAAAAAGAAGTACACATTGGCTTTGTTTGAGCCTCATAAGTTGAAGTTGGGGAGGGAGACTCAGCCACTTGAGAAGTCCATGGTGACTGTCTTAATTTGTTTGGAGTGGATCGTAAGGAACAGCACTTGGAGGATTGCTGTGAGTTGAAGGCCTGCTTGGGTTGCAGAGGTAAGCAAGAGCCTCTCTCAAAACAAAACCAAGCAAAGAAACCCTGCCATGAGGCCTCTTCTGAAAGAATACACAGAGAATTGAGAAAGAAAAGTATGTTTTCACCAGTGATTGCAATTTTTAAAGTTAGTTGTAAATGGCCTGCAATTTTTATATGCCCATGTAAAAAACTATCAATGTATATTTGCTTATCAAAAAAAATCCAACATTTGCAATTGGTATTATAGTATTCTCTAGAGTATTCTTTGAAGGTTTTCTGTATTCAGTACAAAGGAATGACGTTCTTTTTATTTCAAATGTTTTCATTAAATTTGCTTTATGCTTATTTTGCTTGTATGTACGTATGTGTATCACATGCATACTCACAGAGATCAGAACAGAGCATTGAATCCCTGGAACTGGAGTTACATGTGTGGTGCTGAGAATCCATCATGGATTTACTGGAAGAGCAGCAATTGCTCTTAACCACTGAGCATGTCTCCAGCTTTGGGGCAGACCCTAAAGGGGAGTAGTGAAGGTTGGTCACCTCACCTGTCAGCCACGTTGTCCTTGGCTTCATGCAATCCAAAGAAACGCTCCCAGCATCCTGGAGCTGTGTTGTGGACTTACAGTTATTTGATTTGTCTTAGGAATTGTAGCCATGAATGAAGAGAACACCGATGGAACAAACGGCTGCGGCAAAGTGCGCACTGGTATTCAGAATGAAGCGGCCTTGCTGGCTCTGATGGAGAAGACTGGCTACAACATGGTGCAAGAAAACGGTCAGAGGAAGTTTGGTGGTCCACCTCCAGGTGAGGTTTGCTGATAGGTGCTAAGTCACAAACATCCCTACCAGTCTCAGCTGTGATTTTGAAAGAAATCATGCATTTATTTAAAACCTTGCTCTTATTTAAAAAGTGATTGAGAATGACATGGTTTGGATTGAGAAATCAGGATTCAGGGCATCAGAGAAAAGTATACTCAAGGCATTAAAGACAAGTCATTTGGGGAGAAACTTGAAAGAGCAGTGAGTAGAGGCCTAGTATTTATGTAACGAGATTCAAAAGGCACGGATCTTACCATTGAACCATGCATTTCTTTGCTCAGAATCTCCAAATGAGCAAATAAAACGCTTGCTTCCGCTTCCTTGGTTGCTGCATCCCCTGTCATTGTTCTCCATCTACAGCCGGTGGGAAGGCGTCCGTATCTAGTTCCCTCTGCTCCACTCTCATAGCTCCATTCAGGTCACGGCATAAACTGCACTCAGATCCTCCTCTTTTCTTACATGGCTGTTTTCTTCACAGCATTTTATCATTCACACACTGTCTTTTGGAGTTTTGTTAGAATGAGTTTTACAAGGAAAGGAATTCAATTTTTGTATCCTCAACACTTGGAATACTGCTTGCCATATAGGTGGCTGATAGAGACAATTTGCTGACTGAGTAAATGACTCGGTTATGAATATAGCTTTTTAGAATTTAATTTCCAGTTGTTTATTTTGTTTTCTCAGGTTGGGAAGGTCCGCCTCCCCCCAGAGGCTGTGAGGTTTTTGTTGGGAAGATACCTCGGGACATGTATGAAGATGAGTTGGTTCCTGTGTTTGAAAGGGCTGGGAAGATTTATGAATTTCGGCTGATGATGGAGTTCAGTGGTGAAAACAGAGGCTATGCGTTTGTGATGTACACCACTAAAGAAGAAGCCCAGCTAGCCATCCGCATTCTTAACAATTATGAGATTCGACCAGGAAAGTTTATCGGTGTGTGTGTTAGCTTGGATAATTGCAGGTTATTTATTGGAGCAATTCCCAAAGAAAAGAAAAAGGAAGAAATCTTGGATGAGATGAAGAAAGTTACAGAAGGTGTTGTAGATGTGATTGTTTATCCAAGTGCAACTGACAAGACCAAGAACCGTGGCTTTGCGTTTGTTGAGTATGAGTCCCACAGGGCTGCTGCAATGGCCAGGAGAAAGCTGATTCCAGGTAAGATAGCCTTTGCCTGGGTTACTTTACATATTCATCCCCTTGTGAATATGGAAAAACAACAGTAAGTGATAGAGCATTATTAGTGAGATATATAATGCCACTTGAAGAGGAATGAAGAATTGTTTTAATGAGAAAGTAAATTAAATGACTATAAGGTATGAGAAGTTGTTCCTACAAAATAAGTTACATTTGCTAATTACTGAATATGTATATACTTTAACTGATACTTTAATATGTATATAATTTTAACTTTGTTAATTATGTTCAATAGGAATTGAGAGAGAGCATTATTTAATTCTAACAGTAATTAATTTTTAAAGGTTTGCTTGTGTTACCAACTCCTAAATTTTGACATAAGTTCTGATTAGGTTTGCTTTAGTAACAACTTTGGTGTGAGTGGGAGTACCTGGTTAGTCGGATATGTTGATATATGCTTGAGTTTCTTTGAGAAATTATGTAGTTCTTTAAACTTGTATTCTTTGCTTTAGTTAACATGAAATCAATTCATGAATTTTTTTTCAGGAACATTTCAACTTTGGGGCCACACCATTCAGGTAGATTGGGCTGATCCAGAGAAAGAAGTTGATGAGGAAACCATGCAGAGAGTTAAAGTTCTCTATGTGAGAAATCTAATGATTTCGACTACAGAGGAAACGATTAAAGCAGAATTCAATAAATTCAAACCTGGTGCAGTGGAACGAGTAAAGAAACTTAGAGATTATGCCTTTGTTCACTTCTTCAACCGAGAAGACGCAGTGGCCGCTATGTCTGTGATGAATGGGAAGTGCATTGATGGAGCCGGTATCGAGGTAACACTGGCAAAGCCCGTGAACAAAGAGAATACTTGGCGACAGCATCTTAACGGCCAGATGAGCCCAAATTCAGAAAACCTGCTTGTGTACGCTAACAAAGAAGAGAGCCACTCCAAAACGCTAGGCAAGCCGCCAGGCCTTCCCACTCGCCTCAACGGTCAGCATAGTCCCGGCCCCCCTGAAATGGAAAGATGTACTTACCCTTTCTTTCCTGGAACAAAGCTTACCCCAATTAGTATGTATTCTTTAAAATCCAATCATTTTAATTCTGCAGTGATGCACTTGGATTATTACTGCAACAAGAATAATTGGGCACCACCAGAATATTATTTATATTCAACAACCAGTCAAGATGGAAAAGTACTTTTGGTATATAAGATAGTTATTCCTGCAATTGCAAATGGAACCCAGAGTTACTTCATGCCAGATAAACTCTGCACTACGCTGGAAGATGCAAAGGAACTGGCAGCCCAGTTCACGCTGCTTCATTTGGGTAAGTTTAGAAGACTTGATGTGTTGACATTAGAGGATACTGTGCTAGATTGATTATACAGTCATGATTTGAACTCTTAATGTCAGTAGTGAGTTTTTACCTTTTTCTCAGTTCTCTGAGATCAGAGCAGAAGGACCACAAGTTCAAAACTCATAGTTAATTTTCATGAGACTTGGCTCCTATATAATTTTCCTACATTTTGCTTTTCAAGCACTACTTACTGAGAGGGAAGTTGAGCTTTGGTTATGGAGTTCAGGCCCCTTTTCATTACTTAATTGTTTCATAATAACTAATTATCATTTGATAAAAATTTAGATGTATGCTACAGAATTTGTTACGTGAACCAATTTTTAATTCTGTCCTTACATCTTTGGTGAAGTCTACACAATGAATTTTTGGTGGAAAAGGTTAGAGATTCATAAAAATGACAGACTTTTTATGTGGGTCATGGCTTTACGCTCACCAATCTGGAAATTTGTCATTACTACTCATGAAAGGTAAAAAGCATTATTAAGAGATGTTGATGACAAGTCTCTTAAAATTTCATGTTTTTAAAGAACCCCATTTTCTTAAAAGTTGGAGAGATGATTAAGAATTAGGATATATAAAACATGCTTGCTTGGGAGTCTAAAGAAAAAGACATTATAACCCTCTGGGGCTGTCCTTACCTGTATTCTGCTTACAACATACTTCTATGGAGAAAAGGGTTACCCTCAGTTGCCACATAGAGATAAGGTTCTGCATGCAGTCAGGAGCTCTTCATTAGCCTTTTCACTCCCTCTGGGGCCTTTTCAGTTCAGCCTGTCTGATCTAGGAAGTTAGACTAGTCCTAATTTGTTTTGTTCAAAGATAAAATTAGCTGTGTGTCTTAGTTATGGCTTCTGTTGCTCAGATAAAATACTAAGGCCAAAGTGACATTGGGGAGGAAAGGGGATGTGTGGCTTTTACACTTCCACATCAGTCTGTGAAGGAAGTCGGTGCAGGAACTCAAGCAGAAAAGCTGGAGGCAGGAGGACTTGAAGGGATGCTGTTTAGGGGCTCAGTCTGCCTTCTTACAACACCCAGGGCTGCCAGCCCAGGTGTGGCACCATTCACAGTGAGCTGGGCCTTCCCACATGAGTCATTGAAGAAAATTACCACAGGCCAGTTAGGTGGGATATTTTCTCAACTGTGTGTCTCTTCTAAGAGTCTAGCCTATGTCAAGTTTACATGTGTGCAGCCTGTCACATTGTGACACAGTATTGTCCATACAGAGTTCACACTGGAGAGCTGCACAATTGAGGTTAAAAAATTCCAAAACAAATGTCAAAGTTTAGAGTAAGTTTACAGTTTTGTGTTTGGCTCTATCCATAGCAACACCAGGTTGTATGCATTCCACATGCCACAGATTAGCCACCTGCTAAAATGTGTGCACATGGCTTAAATCACTCATTTTGGAGTTTATTAGTCTTGTATCCAAACTGTTAATTTAAAAATACAGAAAACTTTTCATTTCTATGTATTTTTCTTGTTTGTGTTCATCACTAGAGAGAAGAATTAATAGATTATGGTTAGTATATAACTGTTAAAAGAAATTGGACTGAGATGTTTTGGTAGGTGCATGGCCCTGTATTAAATCCTCAGACTTTCTGAAAACATTACAGTAAACACTGGAACATATTTGGGCCCAGTAACCAAGTCTGAGCTCTGCGTAGGGAGTGCTGTACAACTGTGCTTACTGTGCTTAACTAAAGTGTAAATGGAGGTTGTTGAAAACACTGTGCAGGCAAGCAAAGAACAGGAGACAACGGAAGTGGAAAGTCTAGACGGAATCTAGAAAACCTTGGTCAGAAAGCATAGGTGAGGCCTTTATGAAAGAGCTTCAAGCAGGGTCAGGCAGTGTGCATAGACAGGAGGTGCTGTGTGCCATGTGGCTGTTAGGCAGTAGTGCCCTGTCTTGATCTTTCCTCAGTAATGTTGGGTCCTCAGGGGCAGATATTAAAAGGCTGATGCCTTCCTTCGCAGTCCTTTTTACCCGTAGGTAGAAGTGAAGTATTTTATGCCACAGTTGAGACGGGTTAGTTGGTGGCAGCGATGTGTCCTAGAGTGTTCTCCTTCTCTTCTCAGTCTGCTCACCACTTTTTTTTCCTGACGTTTTGAGAGATGGTTACTGAGTCTTAAGAGTGCTTCAAATACTTCTTTTTTTTTTTTTTACTACATTAATACATCTTTTGGTTATACTTTAAAAAGCATTTCAGAAATATAATTTTGCAGATAGTGTCAGTTACTTAAAGATAATTTCTTTGGACATAGTAATTTCTCTTACAGTTTGCTATGATACTCCTTTTAACTCTGCTAGTTTAGTTTCTTTTCTTTTTCAGTCATCATTATACAGTTTTATCTTGGTTATTTTTTTTAAATGACATTGCTAAGCCAGATACTTACCAACAAGCTAAACCCAGTTTGATGTAGTAAGCTTTGACAGTCTTGTGATGTCTTGGATTTGCTATCCCCATATTTCAAATTTGAAAACTTGAATGGGAACTAAAAGATGTTCTGTGTTTCAGTGACCATACTTGTTTTAAAGAAAAGATGCAGTCCTTTAGGGATAGTGGATAGCTGAATGAGTTTTAGAAGCCATCTGTTCGCTTCAAGTCACTCCTGAGTCAGAGAACCTCGTAGTGATTATAGATTTTTGTCCCTTCTAAAGCCAAGTCTTTCTGATTGCTTTAGTAGAAAGAAAGCCAAAAGGGGGTTAAGAGTTAATCCCTAATATAGCCCTCTTTATTTTTACCTCAAAGTTAGAGCCTGTCTTCTATCTTCATGTCAGAGTAACCTTCCTCATCTCAGTCATCCAGTGGGAGAAACAGCAATGCATTCATTCACTTAGTTTTAGAAACACAGTGCTTATTTTTAAAAACTACAAATACTTCCATTTTATTTTATGTGAAATAATTTTGGTGAGTTTACCTGTTTTTGCATCTATGTTTCTGAGACAGGATCTTGCTTTGGTAACTCAAACTGTCCTTGAAATCACTGAGTTTTGTGGGTCAGATGCAGGTGTGTGTTAGGATAACAAGTTTTATACTTAACGCTGGGTCAGTGGCGACGTTTGAGATTATTGCGTATCACTTCTTTTTAAATGTGACTCTTTTGAACCTGGACCTGTCAGTATTGCAATTGCTTTTCTAGATGATTATGCTTTTTCAAAACAAATGCTAGAAAGTAAGATGATGAAGAAGAGAGATAGCCAAGCATGGTGCACCTTTCCTGTTTCCCTGTGTGATGTTCACTGATGACTGTAGCAGGGTTTTGATGTTCTTTTATGACCACTTGTTTTTAAAAACAGGGATGAGAGTCTCTGCTGGAAAGTACCTCTTGTCACTTCAGGTCACGTTGGGAAGGTTTGCTTTGGTGATTTCTGCAAGATTTTAAGAATTGAGGGAATCGAGAAGATGTGGCATAAGTTAATTGAACACTGGTTAGTTTTTCTGTTTGAAACTCTTATCTGGCTTGTGTGCTGCTGCTTTGGCTATGACCAGTGAAGTTCACAGTCAAGACAGGCCTCTTGCAGGTCTCCTGTGTGTTAGGGTACTTTCTCAAGCTTTGGGAGTTAAAGTTCTGCTCTCTTAAGAAGAGTTTCTGACAGAGCAAGGAGCCTCGAGATGCCTTTCTACAAGGCACGTCTTTAGAAGAGCAGCATGGTGGTGGGCCCACGGCTGGGAACTCTGGTCAGGTTTGCTTTAACGATTCCTGCAGATTTTAGGAAGAAACTGAGGAGGTGTGGCATTAGTTAATTGAACTTCCATTTTTCTTTGTTTAAAACAGTTTACATGATTACTTTCTTGACTGTATTGCTTTTCCTCTGAGCAAGTAATTTTTTCTAGGTAATTTTAGTTTGTAGAAACATTTCGTGTGTCAGTGTTCATGTTTTTAACGGCACTGCTTTTCTCAGCATTTACTCTGCAGCTGATATGTATTGTGTTAACATTTGCTATGTTACACAGGGCTTATTTTTTCTATTGTTTAATGGAATTTTGTAAATATTTTATTTTCTGTCTTCACATGTAAATTAAGGTTTGATTTCTCTATGTCACACAATTTTGGTTAGATGCCGAGGGAAAAAAGTGTCACTACTGTGAGTCTTTGACCGGAAAGATAATTGGTGCTTTTTTTTCTCATGAGCTGTTATTTCCAGATTGATGGGCAAAATATAAAACATAAACAGCATTTTAGATTTAGAAAATTTGTCAATAAATTGTTTAGAAATAGAAAACTTTAGTTTTTTATTAAATAATTTTAATAGATATTTAAGCTAAATATAAAATAATGGTTATATTACAATGGAACTTTTCTTTATAGAGAAGAAAACACTTTCAGGATGTATTCCTTCTAGATTTAAGGGAGAGCTCTTTCATACTGTCTCAGGCCGATACTTAAAAGAGTTGAACTTGATTTAAAATGCACCTAAGTGAGAAGTAGCCCTCAGCTTTAATATTTTCAGTTTTCACTTTTTACACAGATCACCTTCACATGACCAAATGATAAGACCCAAATTCCATGAACTCAACTATGTGTCTCTGACCCTTGAAGAGGGACTAGTTCTTTTGAAATGGATGCAGATATCCCAATTGAAATTTTCTTTTTCTTTAAGATTCTTTGATGACCTCATATTTATCCCATTCTCATCTTGATAGCACTTATTTTAATTAATGGGCCACAAATACTTAATTTAATGTGAATGAAGCTGCTTAGCGGAGAGCTGAAACAAAAGCCCAAGAGTCCTGCCACCCGGCATCAACCTTGTGAATGTCATCTGGTCTCAGACTTCAGTACTTTCACCTCTGCAATGTCAGGCTTATTTGGAGGACTCTAGGGATTGTTGTATTTTATTTTATTTTATTTTTTGAGATAGCTCTGGTTAGCCTAAAACTTGATATTGTAGACCAGACTGGTCTTGAACTGAAAGAAGATCTTCCTGCCTCTCCCTCTTGAGTGCTGGGATTAAAGGAGTGCCACCA